CGGCGCATTGTGCACAGAGCGCCTGAGGTGCCGTGTGACGCGGGCCACCACTGACAAGTGGGGGCAGTGTCAGGCTAGACTTGTAACACGCCTTGGGGAAGGAATCACCACGCACACATTTTAGCCGGAAAACATGAAAATAAAGAGAACACTTTGGAGACTTTTTTCTAGGTGTGAGGATGATATTAAAATGGATATTACAGGCATATGATGTGAAGCTGTGGACTGAAATTAACTAAAAAGTGAGAGCTTCGAGAGTGTGACGCCGTGTAATCTTGTAGAAGTTCAAGATACTTCGGAGGAACATTAAATTCAACTTTTCTTTAATTCGTTTAGTGGAGGGTGGAGTCCAACTGGGTCCACTCGGCACGGCGGCCACTGATAGGCCTATTGTAGCCTGCCCCGGGTGATTATGGTGATGGAGAATTTGGTGGAATGAAGATTGGCAGGGGAAACCGAAGTACTCGGAGAAAACCCGCCCCAGCGCCACTTTGTCCACCACAAATCCCACTTGACAAGACCCCGGGATCGAACTCGGGCCCCGCAATGGAAAGCTAGCGACTAACCGCTTGAGTTATGGCGCGGCCTCAGAGGAACACAGTGGCTCCATTTTCAGAGTTGAATATATAGTAAGTTAGCAACGAGTGAAACCAAGCAGCAAGCAGATTTCTGTGAAATTCTACCGGACTACACGGCGTCACGTACCAGAAGAGAGTCAGCGCTGTGAGTACCTCAAAAGCAGCATGAATTCAACGCTCTGGGTACCGGAACCGATTATGGGTTTCACAATAGGCCGACAGTTTCTTGACCAGCTGAGCGACAGTGAGCTTATCAAGAAACATTGTGCTCACTGCACGTAAGATTCCTTATTTTAACGAACCAAGCGTGAGCACCGGCAGTTTCCGGTATGTAGAACTTCCGGCAGGCCCTGCGTTGGCGCTTGTTTGCCCCTCCCGACAGACTGAGGGTGTCTGGGAAGTGCATAATGAGGAACTTCGTAATTCGCACCCTTCACTGAACCCTGCTGGAGCAATCAAACCAAGGGACATACAATGAAAGTGCATACAAAGGTTTTCACTATACAAGACGTAGATGCTCAAATGCAAGGTTCGGGTGCTCAGGCATCTGCCACAAAGTTCATACCAGCGGCGGGCTCTTGTGATTGCGGTAAACGTTTTCGGATTCTAGAGATTGGTTGAGGCACTATGATACAAGGTGGAAGGTCACGGGTTCGAGTCCCGATGAGGTGGATTTTTTTTAATTGACCTAATCTTTCCAGCCGCACTGTGGCCCTGGCGTCGACTCAGCCTCTAACGGGAATGAGTACCAGGAAACTTCCTTGGGGTAAAGGGCGGCCGGTGGGTGAGGCTGACAATCTTACCGCCATCTGTGAGTCGATTGTCTAGAAAATGTGGGCCCCTCGACGTATGGGCCTCCACGGCCCGTTACAAGGATAGCTTTACCTTTATGAGAGGAGGAAACCAAACGTCTTGAACAGCCGAAGGACTTCCAGCTCCTCAAAAACCATTTCTGACACGTGTACTTGGTCGGTCAGTCGGTCGGTGGGTCAGCCAGCCAGCCAGCTATTTCACTAGCAGCGGCTGACCGCACAGAGGAGCCCAGAGGTGCAACCTAGCGCTCTGATGGGCTGAGTTGTCAAGAAATCAGGTCACGGCCGCACAGGAAGAGGAACTGCTCAGAAGAAACAAACTCGTTGAGAGATGAAATATTCAAGAGCAGAATAACGGCTGGAACACGTGATATGTTGACAGGTTGAGACTTGCGGATCATAAGCAAACAGACTGGAACCGGAAACTAGACTTGACTGTACGTCACTTGGTCGAATTCTCTCTTTGAATTGCACTATTCCATAACAATGTGGACCTCAGTGACGGTTAACGTAAGAGGGGAGCATATGAGACTGTACCATCAAAATTGTAGGTCACAAACCTTGTTGCAACTTGAAACCCAATAAAAGTAGATCTGTATGGTAAGAAGGATTTTTTTTGACAGGAGACCTCGAAGTAATAGTTATAAAACACGCAATAATCCTGCGATGGAAACAAACCTGTGTACTCTGTAACACTGAGCGGTGCCTGCCTGTCTGTCCCGGTTCGCGCCATGCCGCCTGCCACATTACCCAATACGGACGGAGTCAACCTCTCCGAGACACTCTTCATCGGTAAATTATTATGTTATTCATAATTATTAATCTGGGGCCTCCTCCGACTGAATCTGCCCAAGTCCCCGGAGACCCAAGGGCTTAGGCAGTTTTGGTACTATTGGCTCTCCCTCTCAAGGTCTCCCTCCGTCTCCCAGGATGTGACGCTGTGTAGTCTGGTATGTCGTTACCGACTTTTCGGAAGAGCTTTCTATCTCAGTTTTCAGGATGGAAGGCACTTCTCTGTCCTGAATCTGGAGACAGAACATTCTTCCGAAACGTCGATAACGATCAACAAATCTACATGCTGTCATATTCAAGAAGAAACAAAATCTTCGTAGCTGTGGTTGTGTAGAGAAGTAACTGGCGCTTAGTCTGAGAATCGTACATAAACAGACAAATGCACTCTATGTGTGTCTAAACTACAGAAAGTTTTGATGTGAAATTAGGTGATATATACAGGATGTCCCAGGAGGAATGTACCAAACTTCGGGAGGGTGTTCCTTGTGTTAAAGTATGCCGATATAACCCAAAACACCTATGTCCAAAGTTAAACGGTTACGGAGATAATGGCCAGAGAAGTGTCAAACTTTGGCCGGTGTTACACACTTGTTGATTACGAAATACATATTCAAACTGGCAGGAATATGTGGATTCTGTAATGTTAATAATGTACGTAACATAAAGCTAACTTGTGAGTGACACGAAGCCATAAAATTGAAGTACAAAATACTCGCTCGCCATGTCATAATTGTTCTTAGGTTTCCAAGCATTATACGTGACACATGACTGGCAAGCGCTGACGTAACATGGCTGACTACGCTATAAGCCGACCACATAACTGTATTAAACGTACATTTACGGAAAATCTGTTTTGGAATTTCGTTTCCATTATCTCATGTGGATTATTATGGGACCACGTATGCACATTTCGTAAATTATTTACACCGTCCAAGGTAAAAGACGCCTCATCACTGAATAAAATGACGCTTAACAGTTCGGGATGAGCTTTTATCCAGTGGCACAAATCCATACGCTGTGCATGGTCGCCTGGTTCCAGATGTTGTACCCTTTGATCATGGTAAGGATACAACTTTTCATCATGTAAAGTTCGCCACACCTGCATACGTGATACGCCGATGCGAGAGGCCATTCTACGAGTGGACAGACGCGGACTTCTCTGAACCATCTCAAGAATGTTCTCTCGTGTGTTTATCATTCGTACATCCTCCCTTTCAGAGTGCACAGAAACACTCGGAAGCGAACCAGTATCACGCAATGTCTGGTGAATTCGCGTAAATACACTTCGAGATGGAATCCTTCGATCGGGAAAACGCCTTTGGTATTCTTCAACAGCAGCACGTGCATTGCCACCGCAAAATCCATACACAAAATGCATATCACAAATTCCACGTGTGAAAACACAAGAGGCATTTCAGCAACTCATCACACAACTAATTTACCAAGGATTCACGACGCTGCCGCAACGTACTCTGTAGGCAGCGCATGAGCTTACGGCTAATGTGAATCACACACTCAAGGACAAACATAGATAAGGCGTCTCAGCTGACAGGCACAGTGCGTGGACCCGCCAGAAGACCACACTTTTCTCGGGCCATTATCTTCGTAACCGTTCAACTTTGGACATAGGTATTTTGGGTTATATCGGCATACTTTAACATAAGGAACACCCTCCCGAAGTTTGGCACATTCCTCTTGGGACACTCTGTATATGCCGTCCTCCTTTAAAGGATTTAATCAAAGCTTTTTTCCATTTCGCTTTTTATATGGTGTTTATAAAAAGTAAACATTTGAAGCATTCATCAAACCGTGCTCCTGAAACTTCACAAAAAAAAGCAGTTAATCAAAAGTTAGAAAATTCACAGCCAGTGAAATTTATCAGTTGATAATTACCTTCAACGTATTTGCATATCGCTCTTCGTTATTGATTTTCTCAACTACGCCAATCTCAAAAGTAAATGAGAATAGAGAAACAGCGAAATAATGAAACTGCCGCAGGGCAATTTCTGCTTCGGGCGGCTGGTACATGAAGATGGCGCACAGGAAAGAGCATTCGCACTTATTAAATTCCAATGTGACATCACAGGAAGAAGGAAAATGGTGAGGCCGAAGTTCTTTGCGTGTGATCCGAGCCTCTCACGGCGGTGGTTGTATGGACCGCCATCCTCTCAGATCGGCCGCCTGAAGACCGTCGGTACATGGAATGTATATTTGTTTGTACAGGTACCTCGAAAACAAGCGAAATATCTGCCGTTGCATAGGTGCTGAAGTATCGCTAGGCTGTTTCAGCAAATCAGTGAAAGTGCTTGTTGTGACACATCAACTGTTGATTTCCGAGTGTGACGAAAAATGACAGTTCTTAATGTAATTTCCCGGTATACTACTTCACGAAAATCAGTTCAGTGGTTCTCGAGTTGTTACATGCGGGCAGACGTACGGACTGACACAGAGAAAGCGATATGCGAACTTTTGTTGGGGAAGCGCCAAACCTGGAAAATGTTGCGCCAAGAAACAGTAATATAACAGATTTGTGTCGTGATTGCATTTTCGGATGTGACACCGTGTAGTTTGCTAGAACGTTACCAACGTTTCTGAAGACTCCGCTGGTTCTTTCTAGTGCCTTTAAGATGGAGGCAGCTGGTACTTCGAAACCCTGTTAACATTCGATCAGTCCACACCGTGTCACATCCCAATAGCCTTCATATTCATCATCATGTGTGCGTGTGTGTGTACTAACGAAAGACGAGCACCGTGCAGTAACCATGCTTACCAGGGAGCGAACAGGATGAAACGAAGATGCATGTCTTGTGTGTTGCAGACACTACAAGCTTGAGGCGGCCATCGCTTCCATGAGCTGGCGTGTGCAGTGGCCCGACATCGTAGTGATGCCCGCAGGCAAGGCCAGAGGAAGCATGTACAGCCTCGCGAAGAGAGGCAGCCAAGCGGTAAGTGGCTTCGCACTAGAGTGACAACATGCTTCTCCCAGAGAGATATCCGCGGCTTTGTCCCCGACATGTTCACGTGTTGCAGGTACAAACCGAAGTTTTCTTTTTTTAGTTTTTTGGGGTAGGGTGAGACTGAGTCCGCTTGGTACATCTGCCACTATTGGCCTATTGTATCAGCCCCGGATGATAGATGATGATGAAGGTGGGGTAGTCGGTGGAATGAGAATTTGCAGGGGAAACCGAAATACTCGGAGAAAACCTGCTCCACTGACATTTTGTCCAACACAATTCCCACATGACCTGACCAGGACTCGAACATGGGCCGCCGCAGTGGGAAGCTGGCGACTAACCGCGTGAACTATGACACGGTCTAACCTAACGGGTTGCTGCAGGCTTCAGCCCTGAATAAAAAACCGCGTAATCGTTGTACTTCCTTAAACATGAACCATATTAATAAATGGTTCATTTGTTTCGTGGCAAGTGAGCGAGCAATTGGCCCTCGCAACAGCGCGTCTCACTTGTGTACCGCGGACTCTCTTTTCGAATTCCGCTAGGGACATCGTCTGTACTGTCTGGGGTTCCTCGGCGCCTCATGGCTACGCGAGAACCTCGAGATAAGTTTTCTTTCGCGCCAGTTCAAACTCAGCATTACCTAATCGCGCTACAATTTGATACCGTATAATCGTAGCTATTGACAGCCTCACTATACAAACAAATAAATGACGAATGTATTTTAGACCACCTGAGCTCCGTATAAGGCACTGGTTATAAAGGATGTTCCGTGCAGATCTCCCACATTTTAATTAATCATTGCGAACAAATTGTGATAAATTATGGATTATAATTAACGCTAGATGAAAGAAAAACTCAAAGAATTTTATTCCCGTTTTTCTTCGGTGAAGCTACAGTATCTGGCCACGTATACCTTGACATGTCTGGATATTCGGAGGTCCCTCAATGCCACCTTCTAAAATCATTGGATTGGACGTGGCGGACCAATTCGGTGGCCCCCACGTTCACCGGACCTCACTCCGCTCTATTACTTCCTCTGGGGTTACGTGAAGGACCGTGTGTTCGTGCCTTCAGTGAATGACCTCCCAGATTTACGATCCCGCATCCGTGAAACGATTGCTACTGTACCAATGGACATGTTGGAAAGAACGTGGCAAGAAATTGAATACAGATTGGATATTGTTCGTACTACCAATGGTTCACTTGTAGAAGTTTATTAGTGTGTCAAATAAAATTGTTTGAGTTATTGTATTCCCTGTAGCTTCATTTTCCTACCATTCATAGTTTCTGTTCTAAGATCTGATAAAATATGGGAGGTTTCAATATAACACTTGTATATCAGCGATAAGCCGGTCACGGTAGCCGAGCGGTCTAAGGCATACACTGTCTTTGCTCGCTCGGAAGCCGGGATCGTGGGTTCAAATCCCACTCAGGGCATGGATGTTTGTGTGTGTTTTTCTGTGTTTGTGTACAGGTAGAGACCTTGCGACGAGCTGATCATCCGCCCGGGGAGTCCTACCGTATGTCCAAGATCTAGTAAAACCGGGGTGAAACGGAGAGTTTCATGGAGGTAGGCCTAGGCCCACTGGGGCTGTAGTGCCAAGAAAAAAAAATATCAGCGATAATGCCCTAAGTGAAATGAAATACAGTCGATGCATTTTTGTGAAGGTTTTAATACCAAATTCCACGAAAACGTATTGGCTGCATTTCGAAATGAAGCATGCATGGACGGACTGACGGACGGATAAACTCTTGACCTCCTCATTATAATTTCCTTTTATACATTTCGTGCAAACAGAACATTGAGTTTCCAGCTGTGACGTGTAGATGTAGCGCGAATCAGGACTAGACTTGCACGAGCAGAGTGAGCCGTCAAGTGTTCGTGCACTGTTCCCTGCATTAGCCTGGATGAAACGACGAAACCCATGTGTATCGGCCAAGATTCTACCAAAACACATCACATATACAAATCAAGTATCGAATGGCAAACAGCTGTTTCTCACAACGTGTGTCTGCTTCACCTTCCATCAGTCGTGCTTGAGTGTGTTTTGGTGGCCCATCAGATGGAATACTGCCGCTTCCTTGCACATCCATATCAATTCATTAGTCACAACCATCCTTACATTCAAGGCTACGCTAGCTATGCACGAACGAATGAGATTAGCCGATTCCTATGGGACCGCTTTGTCCTGATGTCGCCCTTCTGTGTCACTACCTTGAATTTTCAGAGAGACTGTCGTGACCTCAACGGCTCACTCGGGTTGCTTCTGTTTGCAGTCAATTGTCTCCGAGGACGCGCTGAGCATCGGGGACGGAACCCGGCAAGTATTCGTGCCGACCGGCTTCTACAGGGTGAGTGAGCTGTCGGCTGGTTACCGCCACTCATTTAAACCACAGCGTTTACTGTATGTTAGTCCAACGTTAGAAATCACTACATTTCCCTCACACGCTGTTTCATGTGATTTTCACAGTTCATTTTCTAAATAATATTAGCGAACTTGTTTTTCTTGCAATGGAGACATGGAATTTTTCCTGAAATTTTAAATATTACTTAGATGATTTTGAAAAGCGTCAAAGTTTTCCCGAGATTGTTCGGGCAAGAGGAATCTCCTCTCGTCACGATGACAAGTCCGGGAATTACCCCACCACCCAGCGATGTGGTCACGTGTCGCACTTCGCTTTGCTTGTAATACCAACACTGCCAACTTTTAATCTCTTTAATCTTTGTTTACAGCCAACACAAAACGTTCACCTTCCCCCGCAATAATGTACAACACAGGAGAAGAAACGCCACCCACACAGAAGTTATCTTTGTAACAAAAGACGAGAGGAACAGACTTTTTTATTTTGCGAGCGGAAGATTAAAAGTTGGTATTCCTCCCCTTTAATAGCATCGCCCAGTTTTCATTGTTAAAACTTCACACTGTAGGGCAGACAGATGAACGCTGCCTTATACATGCGTACAGATCAGCTGATTTGAGGTGTAAAACCCGTAGAATTGGCTGGCTGTGGAACCAGGTTTGTAAATTTGTTAGTTCTCAGCGACAGAACGTTCCTTTATCAATTGTCCCACATATCTATGAGCTTCTGGTAACATGTCTATGGGTGTATGTGTCCAGTTTTCTGAACCAACTGACGGTGCTTTGTGAAATTTAGTGCGAACTTCATGTCGCTGCGGATCATCCAACCTGTGCACATCAGTCAGTCCTAAATATGGAATGTTCAAACTTCTGAAGTGGTAGTGATACTAAAGTCATTACATACAGTGGTCCGAAATTTGGCTCGACGAGCAACAATGTGTTGACCAGTTTGTTGAATGTAAAATACTAACATGGCAGCATCGCGAAATACGTATTTAGCTTTCTGTACGGCTGTGATGACAAAAGGACGGCGTTTAGACATTTATGATGTTATTTGCAGGGGACAAAAGTTGCTATCAAGACAGTTGCCAAACCGAGGATCGAGCTGACGCGACCTCTGCTGCTGGAATTCAAACGGGTAAGTCACTGCGGGCGAATGGGAGAGTTTGGATTGTAAGAGGGGCACATGCCCGCGTCTGAGGGCACCGTTCGTCTCCCTTAGCTCTAGAATTTGCCCTTTCTTCTTATGTCACTGACTATCCGGCTGTTCTACCCTGAAGATGGGATAGCAAGTACCTCCGAAACGCTGTAACCTATTTACCAGACTACACGGCCCCACAGCCCAGAATACAGTACTGTTCACAGTGACCGCGTCGGTAAACCGAGTACTTGTGCGTCACTTCGGGAAGTTCTCGGTTCGAATCTCGCTTGAGACACTGGCTATCCTGACATTCTTGGTTTTCCTCATTCGCTCCAGGTAAATGCCGGGATATTACCGCAGTTAGACCGTGATCCCTTCCTTCCAGATCCTTTCCAGTTCATTATTCATGTCCTACCATCGGTGCTGTACAGTTCAGCTACTGACAGCGTCATAATTAGTCCCTCTTCCCTCCAGAAGTTATGAGCGATATTGCGTTACCTAATATCTTTATTTATACCAAGTTAAGATATCTTAATTTTACTTCAAGGAGTGTAAAATGTAATTTGTCATATGCTGTATAGATAAGGTAAAAGCTGTACCTGTAGTGCGACGTGCTGCCTGAAAGTCGGACTGTAAACATCCATCACTACGCAATGGACAATGAGAAAGCATGCTACCTGGGAAACCGCTTTGAAGAACACGAGAACCTAACACGGGGCTAGCAATATCTAAACAACGAATTGTTTGAGACAGTAAACATGTATTCCCGCGGCAACAAGAAAGTCGTTTGCATAGCAGCGGGAATAATGTATTCCCGCGGCAACAAGAAAATCGTTTGCATAGCACCGGGCGAAACTGAACCCTTCAACGAGGTGTTCCCTATTCAGCTCGAGTGCTGGATCTGACAATCCAACTTCTGCAAGGGTCCAGTATCACCCGTGTGGAGGCGGGGTCGAATACCTCCACCGTGACCCTGCGAGTCGTAGGAGGCCGACGAAAAGGGAAGTCTCAAATCTGAGACAGTAAAATACGGCCGCGAGTCCCAAGGGACTCGGACCCGAGAAAGCCTGCGCTGGCAAGGGTCAGTAGCATGTAAATAAGAAAACCGTAACGTTCAACAGTAATAAATATCTGGTCATGAGCCCCAGACTGGGCTCGACACCAAGCCTTACTGACTGAAACGACATGCGCAATGTGACTTGGACTTGGACTTGGACTTTGGACCAGTACAGTTCGTAGTCGACGAGAGCGAAGGTCAGTCGAGCTCTGAGCAGAGCAGAAGACACATCACCGAGATCAGCGTTGCGAGAGTGTATAACACTGAAGAGGAAACGTCCGAAGACGTTATAAGTGTGAATAATCGTATTTGTGAGTGTAGAGAGTGATTGTCCAATAAATATTCATACAAATCCGAGACCCCCATACAATTTCTTGTCGCGTTGCTTAGGAAACACGCGACAGTAATAACAGACCGTGGAGGCCCCTTAGAGTTAGTGGGACGTCGAGGCTTCAACATTTTCTAGACAGTCGGCTCACAGATGGTGATAAGGTTGTTAGCCTTACGCGTCGGCCGGCCGCCCTTTACCACCAGAAAGATACCTGGTACTCATTTCTGTCAGAGGCTGAGTCGAACCCAGGGCCATAAAGCGACAGGAAAGATTAGGTCAGCTGAAAAATCCAAATTGCCTAATCGAGAATCTAATCCTCGCCCATCCGGCTTGTAGCAACTACGCTACCGCGTGCCAATGTAGTGTAGGAATACTGTTTATTTGTGCTATTTGGTATATAGGGTAGTTCTGGCTTTATCCTTGAATGATGAAACAAATTTGGAATTTGACGCAAGCAACGGTAGTGAGAAGAAAACAATTTCAACTTTAGTTCGAGTCAGCGCTATGTTCCGGGGAGGCCCGTCGTGTAATGTTCTCGCGCTTTGTTCAACATACCGCACTCACAAGTGACCGAGGCGCTTTAGGTCGCGTTGCCATGGCAACCGATCATCGCCTGTCAATTCCGTTTGTACACTCACGCAATACGAGCAGGCCTACAGGTTATACCTCGCTCCGTCAGCCCAATGTTCCGAAGGACTCACTGACTCTTTCACATTCACCAGTGCCTTTTCGTCTTTTCATGGAATCCTAACGTGAAATCACAATCCCCACCCCAGTGTTTGAGTTTCGATATTTAAAAAAAAAAATAGAGCCGCTTGGCCTAGCGGCAACGTTTTAGGTTCGCGTTCTGGAGGATCTCAGCTCGAATCTCGGCTCTGACACCGGTTATCCTGAATGAGGAATCTCATAGTCTTCCTTAGTCCCTCCAGGCAAATATCAGGACATTTCAGTTTCTTTTGCAATCGGTCATTCTGCCACTCGGCTGCACATTCAAGACAATGAGAGCATGGTGAAGTAACGCACCAGATTTGTGAAATGTACTTCTTAATTCGACCTTGTTTTAGGGAACAGGACACCGTAACGAGACAGTTTTGGTTTCCTTTCGTGTTTCTCTCCGACGTGAAATTTAAAGGATAAAATTCCCTCTCAAGTATTTCTGAGCAACCTGTGTCGAAAATTGAAAACTGAATTATTTATTTCGAACACGGATCACACGTGTTTGTCCTTTGCTGTTTTCGTCTCCGAGTTAGCGTTTGTTTATTTACTTTTCTGTAGGCTATTTTTCGACTCTGTCAGAGCGAGACTTTATAGCGTCAAATGATATGATGATAGGTGAAAGGTGAATTGAAAAGGAATTGCAAGGAAGTGGCCGAGGCTTGATTGAGGTACTACCCCAGCATTTGCCTGAAGGAACTGAGAAAACTCAGGATAACTGGTGCTCCAGCCGAGGCTCGAACCGAGTCAAAAGCGTTACCGCTATGCCAGCCCGCCTGTTTTTAATACATAATCGCCATAAAAATATTCCGAAGTTCCTACCACATCTCAAGAACGAATTGAATTCTGCGCTCAAAGATAACACTGAACAGACGTAACATAACTCGATAAGAACAAAGTATGAACAGAATATGAATAATTGTACACAGTTCTTATCTGTATGGTAAATATACTCACCATATATGCTTGGTGTCCTGTTATTTAACGTATCCCAGCAACACGAAAGATACCATAGAGTCAAGTTCTCACACTATTATAGGAAAAATTTCATTTTACATATATCTGTTCATCCTTTGGAGTCTGTTTCTCTGACTCTGGTCTTGTTGCTAGACGATTCAACTGGTTATGCCAGTATTAGCCAGTATAATGTTATCACATTATAAGGTCAATGTACTCTATGATATTTGAGGTTTGCCCTGAGTATGAAAACAGTATGTTGCTCCAAAACACTGATAACCACAGTACATCATGTCACAGCCCACAAAAACACAGTGTGGAAAGGCACAAGAGACTTGTCTTGATGTACATATAATCTAATTCCCTGTTCTTTAAATCAAATTAAATTCTGTTTTGCTGCAGCTCGTCTGTTGTGACATCTGCTGTCTTTCTCAGAAGCTTTCTCTCAAATGTCTGAGGCTGCAAACAGTTGCCCATCGAGTGCAAGCCTTGCAAAATTTTTAATCAGACACATTGACTTCCACAGATGCGGGACCTGCACCATGATCATCTTGTCCGCTTTCTGGGGGCCTGTATTGATCCACCACACGCATGTCTGCTGACAGAATATTGCCCTAAAGGAAGCCTTCAGGACATCTTGGAGAATGAGCAGTTCAAACTTGACTGGATGTTCCGATACAGTCTGATGCATGATATTGTGAAGGTTCGTGGAAGGGTGACATTACATCTGAGGTTCTCTCAGTGCTAACATCCCTCTGGGATGTGAGACTGTAATCACAGGTACAAAGATTTATACGAGTTGAGTAAGGCACTCAGAACACAGATATTCTAACCCATAATTACAACACAGAGTCGGAATATGGCGGGTTGCAGTGTAAATGTGAAAGTAACAGAACAAAATAATATTGTAGGCCATGTGAATATGGCAGTGAATACTCAACCTGAACTGTGACAGTTCTGCTTCAGATTTAACATCCCATGAAGAACTAACTTTTAATTGAATGTTAGAACTATTTTATATATACATAAAGAAGAATTCAGTCACTGTAGGGCTGTGTTTACCTGTATACATGAAATATAGGTAAATTTGAAATGATTTTTCTGCTTTGCAAAATTTAATATGGCACGTGTGTCTAACAAAGACACTGTAAAAATTTATATATGTGTTGAAACAGGCAAAAAGATATTAGATTTGAGGGTCTTACAAGAGTGAATATTAATATTTATCATCATCTCTCATATGACACATTGTAATGTGATAAACATTTGCCTATCAACTGGAAGACACAATGCTGTATCCCACAACACCATAATCTTAATATTGAACCTTGTAACGAAGGAAGACATATATATATATATATATATATATATAATTCACATATGTTTGTATTGTTGCAGTACAATTTTAAAACCATGCGTTTGTGAGGTCAATACAAAGTAACTGATTCTTTTTCGTATGTTTTCAGGGCATGAGTTATTTACATAGCAGTGATGTCCGGTCCCATGGCTCACTGAAGTCGTCCAACTGTGTTGTGGACAGTCGTTTTGTTCTCAAGATCACAGACTTCGGCCTGCACAGCCTCCGTGCTTCTGGAGAAGATGCTGATGACAAGGACTCTTATGCCTACTGGCACAGTAAGTGTAAACTAATGTACGGTTATTAATTCAAAAACTGTTAATGCACACTATTGTTGTAATATTTTCTTCAGGACCTTGTCAAAGTTGGCCATGGTACCTATATGTTCTAGTCATTCCTAACAGTGGCAGAAGAACTTTCATTTAGAGATTAGGACTGCTGTCTTATAGAATGTGAGCCATGTAGTTTTGTATAGTGAATTCCACCAGTTTACACATAGCCCTAGTCCTGAGCATCCCATCCCTGTATTTCATACCATTTTCCTAGCTCAAGTCATTTTTTCTGCCTTGAGGATGGAAGTAGCAGTTTCCCCCAAAGTTCTGCTAGCCACCTACTGGACTGCACACTGTCACAGCCCAGAAGCTCACAATCTGACGGAGTATTTTAACAAGCACAGAAATACACATACCATTTTAAGATACAATGTTTCAGTCTACATACATCATTTACCTTGAAGACTGTAGTTCTCAGTGCTGTAACACCATTCAGTTTGGACAGAGTGTGACATTTCAGAGGAGCATATCACCTCCATCTTCAGGGTCAAATAGTAAGCCAAGGAAGAGACCAACAGAAGCAGAGGAACGTCAGGCTTTCTCCAAGCTACACGGCATTGCAACCCAGACACTACACTGTTCTAGTTACTGTCTCGATAGGCCACACCATAGCTCAAGCGGTTAATCGCTGGCTTCCCACTGCAGCAGCCCGTGTTTGATCCTGGGTCTGGTCAAGTGGGATTTGTGGTGGACAAAGTGGCGTCGGGGCAGGTTTTCTCCGAATACTTCGGTTTCCCCTGACAATCTTTATTCCACCAAATTCTCCATCATCATAATCACCCGGGGCAGGTACAATAGGCCAATCAGTGGCCGCCATGCCGAGTGGAACCAGTTGGACTTCACCCCTACTAAGCGAATTAAAAAAAATCACTGTCTTGATAACTTCAAATCCTTCACTGACCTTCGTCTTGATTTATCCATCATGCATATCCTGTAACAGGACACCTTCCATGTTTTCTTCTTCATGTTATCCAATGTACAATGTCATGGCTGCTATGTTGACACTGCTAACGGTACATAATGAACAAATAGGATGGTGGAGTAGCCTGCAGAGGTTGTAAGCATCATGAAATTCTGTCATTTCACTCAAAAATTAAAGAGGTACACACACACACTCAACAGACATGCTGTAATCTTGTATTTACCTCTAAAATAATAGAGGTACAAATGCAGCATTGGCTGTAGAAGTGACTCCACAGAGCACCGTCCTTCTTGACACATTGATAGCCACTGAGCTGCTCAAATTCCCCACTTCTAATGAAACTCAGCAATTCATAGCTGAGTGCACAGGATCCCAGTACTGAGCCCTGTCCTGAACAAAAGGAATCAGTCCTCTTCACAACTTCTTTTATTTTAACATTCCATCTATAGTTTTTTCCACATAGCACTTTCCTTTCAAGTTTTCACAAAATTTTCTGTGAACTTCTTTTCTCCCTTATACATGCTACATATCCTGCCCATGCACCTCTCTCCATTCTCCTCTCATTTCTTCCCACTTAAGTCCAAATATTCGTCTCAGGATTGTAATCTCAAACATCCACAATCTGTGTCCTTTTCTTAAGGTGAGATGCCAAGTTTTGCACCTGTGATAAGTCTTGTAGCTTCATACATTTGCATATTTTAATGTGTATATTTTTTTTAAAGCAGACTGGAAGACATTGTACTCTGAACTGAGTAGCAGGAAGAATGGTCTAATTGTGATCTGGTTGTTAGTTATTTACAGCCTGGGTAACTTAAGACATACAAATACTGGCTTCATATATTTTCCTTGAAGCCTTCTTCTTAACTGCAGGGTCCATTCCCATTGGTCAGCACTATGTTCCCCACTTTCTCCTGCTGCATCGTTCACCAGTATATGCCAAAACTTGCAACAGCTAAATGCTATGATTTTTGTTTGTTAGTGCCATTGTCAAATATTTGAACTTATCCATATTTACAGAATGATGCTTCTGCATGGAATTAGTGAATTATTTGGTAAGCAAAAGTGATCCTGAGGAAGTGCTATGTATGTTTACAGAGCAGCTATGGACAGCTCCTGAGTTGCTTCGCATGGGACCACAGAGGCCTCCAGAAGGCACCCAGAAGGGGGATGTGTATTCTTTTGCGATCATCGTTCATGAGATCATCACACGACAGGGGCCATTTTACTTGCACAACATGGATCTCACACCCAGAGGTGAGTTCTAATCAACATATTGCACACAAAGCATGTAGGGTGTACCAGTCAAGAACTTGGCTTTTGTTCCTGTGATATTACTCTCTTGTATACAGCTCTGCTGTTTTGGTTCTAATTAGAGTCTTTAAAAATTTCGTCTGTCTAAACTGAGACTGTAATCAGTGCACTCCAACCATCTGTCAGCCTTTGTCTTCTTATAGGAAGTACAGCTGCAATTTCTCTTGAACCTGGACATTGATGGAGATGAGTGATTAGCATTATGCTTCAACTGCTTTACCTGTGGGAAGAAAGCCCTCAGTAACATTTAAAAGGAAGTTTAATGGCCCCAGAGTCAGTGTGGGCATGATGAGAGAAATATGTGTGCCCATTTGGAAGTAGGACTCAGATCCTCTGGTCAAGTTGCTTATAGCCTAGTACACTGACTGAGGTACACAGATACCTTCAAATTTTGGGGTAACAAATAAATTTTCTAAATATATTCTCTGCAGATGTGTGTATGTGCTTGGAAGTGATGTTCACTTATTGCAGAGCATTTGCAACACTAATATCAGAGTCAGAAGTTATTTTACCTTATGCTTCCCTGAATATTTCCTATTTTGAAAGGTTTAGACCACAATAAAACAAGTGCTGTATGTATGAAGAGCTGATATTAAGCAGCTGATGGGCTTCTTGTAAACTGCCAGTTGTATGGGATCAGTTATGGAGCTAAGTTAAATTTTCCTAAATTTTACTTCACATTCCCAGCACCAGATTTAACCAGAATATGTTAAGTAATTTGATGACAAAGCTTATTGCGTGCAGTCAGACATATCCCGCACAGTGTGTGTGTGTGTGTGTGTGTGTGTGTGTGTGTGTGTG